CTCTCTCTCTCTCAATGGCGATGGCCGCTGATGAGGCTGCTAACTGGCGATGGCCGAAACTAGTTGGGGATGCCAGGTGGCTCCGCTCTGGGGTTTTCGTTCTGTTCTGTGGAGGAGTGTAGGCGACGCCATAGCCGACTATGGCTGCTTGAGGTGCGACGATGCCATCTTATTACGATGTTCGAGATGTGACATATTTGTGCCGTCTTTTTTGCGGCGATGTGTGTATGCGTGTCTGTCAGACCTCGTGACCACTTCTGCTGTCTGGGGGGGTCGCTCCACTACTCTCGACATTCGCATGTGCAAAACGAGAGTGAATCTCCCGCTCGAACATGGAAAGATACACCGCCATGACTTTTGTCTTTTGTGCGTGTCGAGAGTACTGGAGCGAGGCGCTAACACACACACAACCCACAAATGCAGTCTAACGGTCACGTGACCAACAAAATTGCAAAAGAGCGAAGGTACATGTAGACCTAAATGCCCCTACGGGGTCCTGTCCATCTTTGCAAAATACCCCTATCGGGTACTGTCCATCCTTACAAACTGTCGGGCTACTTGCCAACTTTTCCCAGGGCCTATGTACTTTCGTTTCACCCCTACCGTCCCAGGTCATCTTTGCGTTTGCGCCCCTGGCCGTTGCCTCCAAAAAAACGCGCGTTGAAGCTAAGGCACGGCAATTATGGCTGTAATTTTTTGGAGCACCTTCCTGTCTAGATACACAGATAATAGGCGTTCGTTCTATTTGGGGAAGGCGCTGTCTTTGTAGCACTTGCGCTCACGCACAGAGACAGAGACAGAGAGAGAGAGAGAGAGAGAGAGAGAGAGAGAGAGAGAGAGAGAGAGAGAGAGAGAGAGAGACGGAGTGACGGGCAGGACAATGTCGGAGATGGCAAACCAGGAGAACTGAGAGAGAGAGAGAGAGAGAGAGAGAGAGACAGGAGAACTGAGAGAGAGAGAGAGAGAGAGAGAGAGAGAGACGGAGTGACGGGCAGGACAATGTCGGTGATGGCAAACCAGGAGAACTGTGAGAGAGAGAGAGAGAGAGAGAGAGAGAGAGAGAGAGAGTGGCGGACAGGACAATGTCGGAGATGGCAAACCAGGAGAACTTGGAGGAATGGTGGGGAAGCTCCGAGTTGGAGATGGGCAAGCTTACCAGGGAGAAGCTGCAGAACACAGGGTGAGGCCGTGGCAGACAGTTGGAATGACTTCGACAGTTCGAATTACAGAGGCAAACTGTTGCGCCTATTGGCCTGGGTATTGCGCAGAGTTGTCCACCTGGTACCTGGTATGGAGGGCAAACCGGGTAAAACAGGATGCAGGTCCAGGCCCCAACGACACAGTCCAGATCGCAAATTTGCGCACAGGCCTGGCAGGGGCAAAACATAAAGAATTCGGCCCAAATTGGCATTCTGCTCTACCCACATCTTTTAGGGCATTTTGACAAATCTCAAGTTATAGGGGTATTTCGCAAATCACCCTAAAAAAAAAAATATTTCCGAAAAAGTTGCAGGCCGAGGAAAAATGGTACTGGTAGGGGACCCTTTTCGAAAGGCAACCATGAAAAAACAATACCATGTTCCACCAGGAAACGCATCCCGGAGGGCCTTTGGTATCGTCTGACATCAGTGTGCGACAAGGTTTTTGAACCGGTTGCAACACAGCGCTTTAGCTCTAGCAACTGTTGTTGGTAGCTGTCATGGAACTCAGGCCAGTTAGTACTGATCTCAAGTATGGTAGACATCCTGCTGGACCAGCTGCTGCCGTCGCCGTGGGACCTAGGGTGAATTGCTCCTCCGACCGGTATGCGATTGAAGTGGCCAAAGCACCGTAGCTGTTTTTCTGACACGACGGTGGCCAGGTGAATACAGGACGGGTCGTAATTGCTGTCAGGTATATGCAGGACAGTCTCATGTGAGTATGGCCTAGATGAATGACAGGGAGATGCGTTGATTCGCTCTGGAGTAGGCGCTACAAGTGCCTGGACGAAGTATTAATTCTTCTCCCGAAGCTGAGTAGCCTTGCATTCTCATGTTCACTTCAGGCGGGGGGGGGGGGGGAGGTCTCCTGAAGCTATAGTGTAGCGAACAGTAAGGGAACAGGCGGTGGCCGTAGTGTGAGATTCGCAGACTGGCAGCGAGGTTCCTCTGGAAGCCACGCGCCCTAGAGGAGGAAGGCTTCATAGGGAAAGTGGCGTGAGAGCTCATTACGTATCCTAAAGAACAAGGAGGATTGGGGCTGATAGACCCACAACGAAAGAATCAGGCACAGCTTAGACAATGGCTGGCCAAGGTGAAAATTGCAGAAGGCAAGGAGGACTGAATTTTGCTAGCAAAGAGAATTTCGGTGAGGGACTGACAGCTGAGCCCCTCAGAAGATGTATGGTTGTGTTTGTTTGTCGACTCATTCTTAAGAAAGAAGTTGTCCTTTGAGTTGTGGGATGCAGTGAGGCGGGCGTGGCTTAGGCACCCCCCAGAAGTACGGGAGCCGCCGGGGACTAAGGAAGAGGTTCTACGACAATGTCTGTTCGAAAACCAGTTCATCTTGAACGAGGATGGAAAGGCCTTTCGTGCTAACTCATCCCCAGGATCATTGGGCAAGGCTTGGATGTTGAGGGGAATCTCAAGGGTTGCAGACCTCTGGTCCGATCCACTAGGTACGTGGAGGCCGTTCACCGAGGTACATCAACACCTTCAGGGTCTCTAACACCTTGAGGAGCATTGGCAGCAACTCCTGCAGGCAATCCCAGCAGACTGGAGGCACCTACTGGGCCCTGAAGGGGTCGACCCGGTGGGGTGGGAACATGGTATGCTCCTCCACCTGGGTGGAGAGAGAGGAGCTTTGGGAACTTCAAGGTTTGACACATTGTGGATTCAGGGAGGTCTGTAGATGGTCGGTAGTGGAACAAACTTCTGCGCTGGTTCCAACTGGGGAAGAAGTAATCAGACAATGGGCCAATCCACCACAGGCAAGGGTTATTCATAATTTGAATCGAAGGGGGAGAGTGGTGTCCACAACCTGGGTAGGGAGGGCCTGTCTAAGGGAGCTGACAATAGATCCAAGGGCATGGAGATGGAGAGGGGGAGCGGTCTCAAGGGCCAACCCCCAGGGGTTGAACCTCTCTAATTATACAGTGAGGGTCCTACAAACTGATAGACATGAGAGAGAGGAGTCCAGTGAGTGTAGCAGTTTCCAGCTGGAGTGCAGTCCTATTGGAAGACCCATAGGAGAGAGAAGGAGACTTCCTGAAACTGTGGAATGTCCTTCTCACTTTACCTGACCTCAAACAGGCCAGTATGTTATGGATACTCTCCCTACTGCTTACTCCATCAGCGTTGTGGCTCTGCAGCAAAGGGATGGAGGTGACCCTGAAATGTTCACGCTGCTCCTGCCCATTCGAATCTACCAAACACCTGTGGTGGGACTGTCCGACGTTGAAGAGAGTGTGGAAATGGTGGGAAAACCATTGGAGAAGAATGGGAGGGGAGGGCATCGAGTAGGATGAACAGTGGGCTCTACTGGGCTTTGTGAGAGAGGAGTAGTCAGGGAAGAAGGGATGGTCGTATGTGGGCCATGTGGCCAAGGCAGTTATCTGTTCGGTCATTTGGGCAGACAGAAACCGGTCCAGATTTGAAGGACGGTCACTCTCTGATTTTGAGATCAAAGCAAGAAGTAAGCAGAGACTAAGGAGAGTCATTTGGGCCGATTGGCGCAAGAAAGTCAAAAGTGGCAGAGGCCCAACGAGACATCCTTGATGGTTTTTGAGATTTTGGGCCAATGGCAATTAATTGGCGGGTGTTCACTATTCTGGAGGATTGGTGGTCTCAAAGTGGTTATGTGCGTGAGTAGAGTAGGAAGGGAAGTGTGTAGGGGTAGTGGAGGAGGACGAATCTGTAGAGGGGACCATGGTATCTCGGTCAGTAGGGGGGAGGCTATAGAGTGTCAAGGTTATAACCATGACACTTAGTTCCCTAGGGACGCAGTGGTCCAATAGGTGAGTGCCTAGGAATAAGGAACGGTACGATACGTTCCACCAGATCGAACTCGGATAGATCTGGTCGTCTATGTAGACCGATAATGGTAGTCAGTACTACTAGTCGACAGTAGATGGATAGTAGCGGGTGATGGTTTAGAAAGTGAAGTGTCATACGAATCATCTGGAAGAGGAATTACGAGTTGCGAAAAAAAGAATGACAGTAGTCTGGTTTAAATGGATTTTGGTGTGTTTTGGTCTCTGGTTAGGCTGGGGTCATAAGCTAAACTGTCGGACTCTGCCAAGACAACTCCGGGTAGAATTGTGGCGACCTCGGCCTCAATCTAATTCCTGTGTTTGCAATGAAATGAATGGATAAAAACACACACACACACACACACACACACACACACACACTATAGTGTAGTGTTGTGACTGCTATCACGACGGTCTGAATCTGTGTGGCCATACTCATCCCGAAGAGTGAGTGCATAGTCATACTAGGATTTTCGTGAGTGAGCCTGGAGGTGATTAAAGTCAAATGCATCTAGGCCCGGTCGAAATTAAAGTCAGATCCATTTGGGGAAGTGCCAGTGTCAGTATGCCCTTAACTTCTCACGGTACAACACCCTAATGATTTTCTCAGACTGCTCATCTCCCTGCAGCAGAGAGCAACGGCAGAGGTATCAAGTTTTTTTTTTTTTTTTGTCCTGGACCATGTGCACTCACACTCACACCCGACCACATAGGGCGACCACATAGGGCGTCGAAGCAACCACCAAGCAATGTACGACCTCACTGATGGTTGCTATGCAAGTAAGAATCGGATCCTACATGCACGAGCTGATCCCAAGAATCGAACACACGACCTCCCAAATAGGAGTAGGACGCTCAACCAAACGGCTAAGCTCACTGGGGTGAAAGTTAAGCCCCAAGATGAGTACTTGTTAACCCCACCCCAGCACGGATTTCTCTACGTCTCGGTGTACCCAGTAAAAACCTCACACTCACACCCGACGCCCTCACACTCACACTTGACCACACAGGGCGTCGACGCAACCACCAAGCAATGTACGACCTCAGTGATGGTTGCTACGCAGGTAAGAATCGGATCCTACATGCACGAGCCGATCCCAAGAATCAAACACGCGACCTCCCAAATAGGAGTAGGACGCTCATCCAAACGGCTAAGCTGACTGGGGTGAAAGTTAAGCCCCAAGATGAGTACTTAACCCCAACCCAACACGGATTTCTCCGCGTCCCGGTGTACCCAATCACAACCTCACACTCACACGCGACCACACAGGGCGTCGACGCAGCCATCGAGCAATGTACGACCTCACTGATGATTGCTACGTAGGTAAGAATCGAATCCTACATGCACGAGTCGATCCCAAGAATCGAACACTCGACCTCCCAAATAGGAGTAGGACGCTCAACCAAACGGCTAAGCTGCAGAAGAAGAAGAACGAAGCAGGGAGAAGAAATGGAGGGCGAGACAAAAAAGAAGGAGAAGATGCCATCCTCCTCGTCGTCTCACCTGTAGGTGATTGCCGCCCTGTACTAACCACCGTCGTGGTCCCTGTGCAGGTCGCCGGTGTGGAGCGCGGCTATGGTGCCCAGGTAAGTACCGCCTATGTAGGTATGGCCTCCGCCCCTCTGCCTACGTACACCTCTACCTCTACCTTCAGCATAGCGCTGAGTGTCGCATTGCTGCTCCAGCAGCGTGTCACCCAAGAAGTGGGCTACTCGAATTGTGTGTCTGCCCAGCCGTGGACCAGCTATAAGTAGCGCTGGGCCGGCTGGTTTGCCTCTGTGCGTGTGCCCAAAACGTGGGCCGACAGGGTCTGGGTCCCCACCGGACGTCCAGACCCTGTACCTGGACAGGGGAGGCCTGCCTCCTGGCGTACCCGGCCCAAGGCGCGGCCTTGGAAACTGCAGGTCCGAAACGACGCCTGAACAGACAAAAATAGGACAACAAACAAATGAATAAATAAATAGATAGATGAATGCTGCCTGGAATAGAATCCTGCGGCCTAAGGGCCAGCCGTTGGCCTCCAGGGGCGCGTCCAAAGGGCGTGCGGCCTGGGGCCCCCCAGCAATCGTCAGGCCCCAAAATTGGGGCCCGTGTGCAGGCTCAGCATGTAACAAAGGTACTGGTTGGTCGTCACACAAGCATGCTGATCGAAGCGTGGGTCGACACACAAGCATGCTGATCGAAGCGTGGGTCGACACACAAGCATGCTGATCGAAGCGTGGGTCGTCACACAAGCATGCTGATCGAAGCGTGGGTCGTCACACAAGCATGCTGATCGAAGCGTGGGTCGTCACACAAGCATGCTGATCGAAGTGTGGCGGTCGTCACACCACTTCAGTGGCTCTCTTTGTGCTTTATACAGTTTCTCGATTTATCCGTGTCATCCGTGCGCAGGGGCCATGCTAATCTTCTCTGTATCGTTCCAATTTTAACGGATGTCCCAAAGAGCCACTGGCCTCCTTTGCATTCCTTCCATCCTGTATATTCCTGTGTCTTCCCTCCTCTCTGTTTCCTCTCTCGGCCGTGTCGCCGTTTGCAATGTCGGCCCTTGGGCACATTCGTTAACATTGGAACGATAAGATTAGCATGGCCCTTGCGCAAGGATGACACACATAAATCGAGAAAGCGTTTGCATTGAATTGGCGGGCACGTACTAATCAGGCACTATCCTTCAACTGTGCGATAATTTGCCTGACAAACGGGAATGCAGGGTTGACCTTGGGCCTCCATGCATGGACAAGACTCTGGATCCAAGTGGAAGCAAAACCATGAGCTCTTCCTCCGAGAATAGGTGGCGTGTGGTGCTTCACCTAGTAAGTACCGAGGACGCAATAGAGTGCATTCGCCTTTTCAAAAAAAAAAGAAAAAGAAAAGAGTGCATTCGCCTCGCCTCGCTCTCGCCTCGTCTCGCCTCGACTCGCCTTTCTTCTTTGTCTTTCTCGGCAGCTGCAGCTGATGCTTCTGGTTCGTCATCGCCATCGCCATCGCCATCGGCATCGCCATCGCCTTCGCCTCTCTTCGTCATCGCCATCGCCATCGCCATCGTCTTCGCCTCTCTTCGCCTCTCTTCGTCATCGTCATCGCCATCGCCATCGCCATCGTCATCGCCATCGTCACGATCATGTTTATCATTTGGGACCTCCTCTTTCTCCTCTCCTCTCCATTACGGGTATCTTTTTCAGCGGCATGCGAAAGTGGGATCGTGCCCTTCGAGACATCCGTTAAAATTGGAACGATACACAGAAAGAAGATGAGCATGGCCCCTGCGCATGGATGACACGCATAAATAGAGATATATATATAAAAAAAAAAAATAAAAAAAAATGGGATCGTTAGGTCAGGAACGAGAGCGAATGAAAGGACACGGATCGGGCGGCTCTAAGGGCCTCGCTTGACCACTCACCAAATGTGCAAAATGAGAATGAATTTTCCGCTACAACATGGAAAGATGCACCCCTATAGTTTTTTGTCTTTTGTGCCTGTGGTGAGTGGTTGAGCGAGGCCCGAAGCGAAGCCAGAGCACTCGACCTGCGCTCGTGACCATTCATTTCATTGCTACTCGCTGCTTTCTTTTCTTATCTTTTTTTTTTCTTTTTTTTTTTCCCATTACTCGATGCTTTTGTCCTCACCCCCATCGTCATTATTGTTCTTTCTCCTGGTCCTCCCCCCGATCCCGATACTCGGCATAAACATGCAGACCCTGATACTCGGCAATGCATACGGGGGACTGTTTGATTAAAAGTGGATGGGAAAAAAAAAAAAAAAAAAAAAAGTGGATGGAAGTGGAATGGTCGGGGCGGGCGGCCATAAGGAGCGGAAGCACAAGTGGTGTGCACGCACGCGTCCTCTATGTTCTCTGCTCGCCGCTCTTTTATCCCTCCGGTCTTACCTTCTCTATGTTCTCTGCTTCGGATATATCTCGTTCCTTCTACATCCCCTGTTCTCCATTCCGTCTTCTCGTTTTTTCATCCCCTTCCCCTCCGATCTTCCGGTTTCGCTTCTCTTCTGACTTGCCCTAGTGTAATTCTGAATCGCTCCAATACTTTGGCGTCTATGAGCTCATAGATTTTTGCGGAGTCCTTCTTCAATACTAGAGGGTGTTTTTTTTTTTTTTTTTTTTTTTTTTTTTTTTTTTTTTTTTTTTTT